CACGGGATGGACGGTCGATGCCGGCTCCTTCCGTTGGCTCTGCCGGATGTTCGGGCACCCGGAGGTGGATCTCTTCACGTTGGCGTGGTCGAGGCGTCTTCCGGTTTACGTGGCGCCCTTCTCCGACTGCGAGGCCGTCGGGATCGACGCCTTTCGGCAGGACTGGTCGAGGTGGGGGTTCCTGTACCTCTTTTCCCCGGTTCGACTGCTGCTCCGGGTCTTGGCTCGCTTGGAGACTTACCAGGGTCGCGTGATCCGCTTGGCCCCTTGGTGGCCGGCCCAGCCATGGTTTCAGGCGCTGCTTGCTCGGTGTCCGAACTCGGAGGTTTTTCCGCGGCTCCGCCTTTTTCAGGAGATCGGGCCAGTCCGGTACGAGACTGGTTCGCTCTTCTCCGCGAGTCTTCGCGTTTGGTGTTTTTGACTCATGTTTATCACCATCTTTATGGTGAGCAGGTGGCTTCCTTGTTGATTTCTCACCTGCGAGTTTCCTCTCGGCGGCAGTATGAAATTTCCTGGTGGTCCTTCCGATTCTTTTTGACCCTTCGTCGTTGCTCCTCGCTTTCGGTTCGGGTGGTGTTGTCCTTTCTCTCTTGGTTGTTTCAGGAGCGTCATCTTATGCCTAATACTGTCGCCTCGTATCATGCGGCGCTGGCGGAGCCGCTGCAGCTTGCTTTCGGTATTGATGTTACTTCTGTGCCGTTTCGCAAGCTGTCTCGGGCGTTGTTTCACCTCCGGCCTGCTCATGCGCCGCCTGAGCCGTCCTGGTCTTTGGACAGAGTGCTCGTCTATCTTTCCACTCCTCGTTTTGTGGTGGCCCCTTCGGTTTAAGATTGCTTTGCTAAGGCTCTTTTTCTGTTGGCATTAGCCTCTAGGGGTCGTGTGGCGGAGCTTCATGCTCTTCTCCGGCGCAGGGGTTTTTGCTCCTTTGGTCGTGGTCTTCGGTTTGTTCGTTTGCAGCCGTCTCCCTCTTTTCTGGCAAAGAATGAGACTGCTGCTTTCCGGAGGGGTCCTTGGGTTGTTGATGCGTGGTTTGTCAGGCCGGGGGTTCACCATGTATTGTGTCTGGTTGCGGCCCTCCTCCGTTATCTGCGCGCCACGGCTTCAGTGTCCGGGGACGTGCTTTGGGTTGATCCGGTTTCCCTTCTTCCTTGTTCGTGGGTTCGGGTCTCTCAGGTCGTCCGCAGGATCATTAAATCCTGCCAGCCTGCGGTCTATCCCCATGCCCATGACATTCGTAAGTTCGCTGCTCTTGCTGCCGTCTTCGGCAATATGTCTTGGACTGACATTCGGGCGCGGGGATTTTGGCGGTCGAACAGGGTCCTGGCTGCACGCTACCTTGTTAACGTTCCTGGGTCCAGTCGGGCCTGTGTTGCCTTAGGTCGGCGGTTGCGGCCCGTGGTCTCGGCTTCGTCTTGAGAGGTGGAGCACCGACCGCCTCCCGGGTAAGTGCCCTTGGTTTTTCTTGGTAGTCTTTGGTGAGGTAGCTCCGGGGAGCCGCAGGGGCTCCCCCCAGAAAACCAGCATTGAATGTAATGAAACGCCATTTTCTGGGTGAGTCCCGGAGGCTCCCCGGCATCCCTCCCGCCCTCCGGTCAGCGGTTTTTCGCGGTTTTTGATATCCAGCCTCAGAACTGGGGTGTGGATCGCCGGCTCGGGGGTCTGGGGCTCCCCCTTCCCCCTCCCGGGGAGGGGGGAGCTGCGCAAACATGCGGCGCGGCTCGTGTGACGTCATGCTAGTTTGCTTGTTTTTCTTTTGGGGAGTTCTGTCCACTCGTTTGTCTATTTTGTTGTTAACCAGAATAGGGGTTTGTTTTGGGGCGCTTACCTTTCTGGGTGCCTGTCCCGGTCGATGGCAGATATGGAATGCTCCAAATCACATGTGCATTCTATGGGCCATTGCTCTCCGTGCCTCTCTGAGGGGTCCAGGTTCTGGCTCGTGGTCCCCGGTAGGCCTAGAACTCCACCCACATCGGCTGATGCAAAATAGTTAGGATATCCATATCAGCCATAGATAGCTCCGGGGAGCCTCCGGGACTCGCCCAGAAAATGGCGTTTCATTACATTCAACGCTGGTTTTTTGTTTTTTGAACATAGAAGCAATTATTATATATTGTGCCATGGGTCCCAAGAAAGTCAGTGGTGAGGTTCATCGTAAGAAAATTGTTCTCAGTGAAGGCAGTCGAGGATGTCTCTTTCTCATTAACCATTAAGCTGCTAAGGGGTAGTGAGGAGATTTACACCCCTGTGCACAAGAAAATTTTTTTTTTTTAAATTATTTCGTCTTCTGAAAATGTTAATTTGGGTTCCCTGAGCATGGGAAAAATAAAAGAAAAATCGTAGGTGACATTTTTTGGGTGCAATAGGCCGAGTAAGTCTGGCAAAAAGTAGGCATTGACAGCGGTCATCAGAGCCGGTCAGCATCACCCGAGTTGACAGGTGGGAGTTGCCACAAAGATATTATCACCTAATTATTTCAATGTCTCTAATTGATTTTTTCTTAGTTTTTTGCAGTAATATTATTCAATAGTGTGTATTGTGATATATTTATATAATAAAAGGGGTGAAGCATCGCTATACTCAAAAGTATGGTGTGCATATTAGTGATTCAATTATTATGTTTATAAAACAATAAACAAATAGTTTTGCTGTTATTACACTCTATACACACATTATATATTAATATCTGCATGTTTTGTTCACCATAACAAACCACTAAGGTGGTATCGTGAGTCGAAAAGCAACGAGGAGTGACCACCACACACCAGCCAGCCACTCGTTGCCACTCCCTCAACAACGCCTCACTCGCCCACTTTCTCCTCCACGACAAATTTTGACATTTGTCGGCGATGCTGTGGTCACAAGCTGAACAGCAATGCTGTTCGCTCATGCTGCATGCACCAGCCTTGGTTGCTCCAACAGTACTGTGGTTCTCATACCGGAAAATATTGCCCACGATTTTTTTTAAACATGGCGTCTATTTACAAGAGCCCTGAGAAAGCTAGTGTGAACCCCATGTAGCTGCGGACCATTTTAATCATGCCTGGCACCCTATGGCGTATATATACGCCATGCACACAGTGGGACATGTTACTCATGGCGTATATATACGCCATGCTCAGTTTAAGGGTTAAAAAAATGTGAGGTATGAGAAGAACTGCAGAGTTTTGTTGAAAAAACTCGCCCAGATAGAGCTGTAGGAGGCCGTTGCATTGACCTTTTAAAAGATATGATGTCTCACTACAGACAAGCGTTAAAATGTAGGGAAAACAAATGTTTTTAGACAGATTCTTAGTAAGACAAGCAAGCAGTGAGCCACAACCAGGTCCTAGTGGTATGCCTGCAAAATGTAGGAGAGAGAGTACCCCAAAGAAGTCATCACTGCCTGATGTTATAATGGAAAGGGAACTCCCCTTCCAGTAACACACTCCTCCTTTCCGTCTTCCATAAGCCAACAAGTCATCAATAAAGGTACGCTATAGCTTGTATATACTATAGTACAATATGTGTGTGTTAGCAACGAGGAGGCCTGGTCGACGACCGGGCCGCGGGGACGCTAAGCCCTGGAAACACTACAAGGTAACTACAAGGTAAGGTGTATTATGTATGAAATATATTTTGATGTTAATATTTTTGGGAGTGTGGAATGGATTAAATTCAATTTACTTTTATTACTTATGGGAAAATTTGTTTCAAGTTACGACCCGTCTCTGGGAATGGATTAAATTCGTAAATGGAAGTACCACTGTAATAGCTTCAGGGAGGTTATCTTGAGATGATTTCGGGGCTTTTTAGTGTCCCCGCAGCCCGGTCCTCGCCCAGGCCTCCACCCCCAGGAAGCAGCCCGTGACAGCTGACTAAGACCCAGGTACCTATTTTACTGCTAGGTAACAGGGGCATAGGGTGAAAGAAACTGCCCATTGTTTCTCGCCAACGCCTGGGATCAAACCCAGGACCACAGGATCACAAGTCCAGCGTGCTGTCCGCTCGGCCGACCGGCTCCTGGCTCCCGGCAGGGAGTCAGCAGGGTTCGCCCAGAAATTGTTGTTTCATTACATTCAAACTGGTTTTTTCTCTGTTAGCTTCAGGGAGGCATCAAGGGCATTTCCCAGAAAACCAGTGTTGAATGCAATGAAACGCCCTATTCTGGGTGAGGCCCAGTGGCTTCCAGATTCCCTCCTCCCTACCACCAGGTGCATCAGTTCATGGCCCATGAGTAACAGACTGAGCGTGGGATGCCAGCTTGGCTCGGATGCCACTGGTTGGTGGGCTGTGTGTGTGGTCTTTGTTTTGTTCCCAGTTTGAATAAACCATTTAGTTTTGAGTGATTCTTTTGTGGTGTCTGTTTCTGTTTCAGTGCTTTGTTTTCATATACCAAGCAGGTGTCTGTTTTCTCTTGTCCACTTTCTGGATGCTTTTCCGATGAGGGTGAGCATCACAGTCCCCTGCTCTCTGTGCCTCTTTGAGTGAGCCAGGTTCTAGCTCTGGTCTCTGATAATCTAAAAGGATGCATATAGTTTGGGCCAAATATTGGGAAGCTATCTGAGCAACATAACTTCAGGGAGCCACTAGCATGCAGCTAGATAGTGCATTTCAATACATTCAACTCTAGTTTTCTTTTCAAAATATTACAGGCTGTTGTGCTGGTTGTGGCTAATGGCTAGTGACTTTACCTTATACTACGTATACAAGGTATTTATATGTACACACACATGCATACCATATGTTAGATTGCATTACAAAAAATCACCCAAAGTGAAGATTTTATTGTATATATTTCCCTCTGAATATAAGGAAATTGTCTCAATGTGTTCAAGAGGGTACTTAATTAAAATATATGTAAATGTTGTGTACAGAATTGGCCTGGATGTGGTGCCTATATCAGACAGCAATCCAACAGCAACAGGCTGATGGATCGTGCCATCAATGAGAGGCAATGATTCCAGGAACCTCTGCAGTGTAACTACCGTAAAGACCATTAATATTTGTGTTGGTAATGACAGGAACAGGACACCATGAAGAAGGAACTACAGGTTAGTTCAGAGGCAGGTGCAACAGCTGCCCCTGTATACTTGGGAGGTTCATCCATCATTGTCAAGAAGAAAGGTATACCCATTGTTGGAGGAATATCTCTGAACAAACTAACTGTAAGTAACTGTAACTAGTAACTGAGGTATGTAATATCAAAATTCGAGTCTGTTATATTTCTGTATTAACCCTTAAGCTGCTAAGGGGACCTGAGGAGATTTACACCCCTGTGCACAAGAAATTTTTTTTTTAATTATTTCATCTTTCTAAAAATGTTAATTTGTGTTCCCTGAGCACGGGATAAAACAAAATCGTAGGTGACATATTTTGGGCGCAATAGACCGAGGAAGTCTGGCAAAAAGTGGACGTTGACAGAGCGGTCGTCAGAGCCGGTCAGCGTCACCCGAGCTGACAGGTGAGAGTTGCCACAAAGATATTATCACCTAATTATTTCAATGTCTATGATTGATTTTTTTCTTAGTTTTTTGCAGTAATATTATTCAATAGTATGTAGTGTGATATATTTATATAATAAAATGGGTGAATCATCGCTATACTCAAAAGTATGGTGTGCATATTAGTGATTCAATTATTATGTTTATAAAACAATAAACAAATAGTTTTGCTGTTATTACAATCTATACACACGTTATATATAAATATCTGCATGTTTTGTTCACCATAACAAACCACTAAGTTGGTATTGAGAGACGAAAAGCAACGAGAAATGACCACCACACACCAGCCAGCCACTCGTTGCTGCTCCCTCAACAATGCCTCACTTGCCCACTTTCTCCTCCCACCATCCTGTTCTATACTTTATTCACAATATACAGACGTTATATATAAGTATCTACATGTTTTGTTCAACACAGCTGTACAACTAAGCTGATATAGTTAGTTCAGGCACTAAGAGTCGTTGCTACGCACAGTCAGCTGGCGGCTCCCTCACTCATTCAAGGTCACATACACTAAACTTTCTCCCCCAACAATACCATTTGTGGAGTTATTACACTACAGTATATACAAACATTATATATAAGTATCTATATGTTTTGTTCACCACAACTGTACAACTAAGCTGATATAGTTAGTTCAGGCATTAAGAGTCGTCGCTACACACAGTCAGCTGGCAGCTCCCTCACTCATTCAAGGTCACACGCACTAAACTTTCTCCCCCAACAATACTGTTTGCAGTGTTACAGTATTACACTATAAACACATATTATATATAAGTATCTACATGTTGTATGCACAGTAACTGTACACCTAAGCTTGTAGAGTTGTAGAGTGCCCAAAGAACATAGTGGGCACCCTCTACACAGCCAGACAAGTCATGCAGACGACGTCACCTCCGTCACCCAAATGGCTCCTCCCAACATAATCCTTTTGCTGTTATTACACTAATACACACATTATATATAAGTATCTATACTTGTGTTCACCATAGAGAACCACTGAGCTGGTATGGTGAATGCAGACAATAACAGGTGGCCACACAGTCAGTAAACGATGCTATCTCCCTCCGTTCCTCAGCATTACTCCCACAGCGCTTATTATCACAACAATTCAGCTATTATCACAATCCTGGTCATTTTTATCACAGTCATACTGTACTGTCATCGCTAAATAATAGCAATTATATATTTATTTTGACATTTTTTGGCGATGCTGTGGTCACAAGCTGAACAGCAATGCTGTTCGCTCATTCTGCATGCGCCAGCCTTGGTTGCTCCAACAGTACTGTGGCTCTCACACCGGAGAATATTGCCCACAATTTAAAAAAAAATGGCGTCTGTTTACAAGAGCCCTGAGGAAGCTAATGTGAACCCTGTGTAGCTGCGGGCTACATTTGAAATATTGTCTGGCATCCTATGGCGTATATATATGCCATGCGCACAGTGGGACATGTTACTCATGGCATATATACAGTGGTACCTCGCATAACGATTGCCCCAAAAGGCGAACATTTTGGGTAACGAACAGCCCAATCGGCGTCAAATCATCCCATATGGCGAACGCTCGTTTGAGTAACGTCAACACCACATGGTGGGGTCGCGCTGCTTCTTGCACATTCTCGGATGCCTCTGACGATGCACATAAATTATGTTGAACCGGTATGAACCATTTTTTTTTAATTTGAATATTGTTCTTGTTTAAAGATACTAATGATGCTGGGATATAAAGGGGTGACTGCTGAGGTGTTGCAGAGTATTGACGTTTTTGTAGAGAAAAAGAAATGAAATTTCTGAAATACAACAAATGTCAAAAAGGTTCGTTCGGTGTACGGCAGGTAGGCTGATCCATTATAAGTCTTTTTTTTTATCAAATGCATTCCATTTGTATTGTATTTGTCATTTACGTCTCAATAATGGAGCAGCCTACCATACATACACTGAACAAACCTTTATGATATTTTCCTTTCTTGAAAATGTGTTCAATATTTATTTTTCATTTGTCTTATAGCAAAAGATTCGTTCGGTGGTCGTCAGGTAGGCTGCTTCATATTTTTATATAAAAAAATGTAAATAATAAAAAAATGAAGAATTTTGAAAACCAGAACAAATGTCAAAAAGTTTCGTTCAGTGGTCTACAGGTAGGCTGCTCCATGTTTTTTAACCTCTGCACCGCGCAGCGGGTTTCGGCAAAAACTTCTTAATGCAAATGGCAAGGACATATTTTTGTTGTTTTTATAAATATTCAGGTAAAGTTAATGTCAAAATGTTTCCAAACTCAACTATTTTCATTTAAAAACACAAGAGTAATGAAAACATTAAAAAACATTAAAATACTGTATATCCTAATTAAATAAAAATTAGCACAACTCTCAGAGCGCCTAAAGGCACTTTGCGCAGTGCAGTGGTTAAATAAAAAAATTAAAAATTAAAAAACAGTTGAAACAATTTGAAAAATGGACAAATGCCATGACGGTTTGTTCAGTGTTTGTCGGGTAGGCTGCTCCATTATTGAGACGTAAGTGACAAATACAAAACAAATGGACCACATTTGAAACAAAGAAAGATTGTCATAATGGAGCAGCCTACTCAACAAACACTGAACGAACCTTTTGTTATAACAAATATGAAAGACTAGGGCTGCTGGCTGGGTTAGTACTGCGTGAGCAACAATTTGTGGCACACGCCTCTGGCTCCCAAACACCTGTCCGACATGGTGATGAATGATTGCGCTCAAATGGTGAAATTCAGACCTTATTGTTTGAAGAACATAAGGGTCATAATATTGGTGAAGCTAGGCGCAATAAAGACTTAACACAACGGTCGGCTGCAAGTGATACAGCACCTATGAGGATGATACAGCGAGCGTATCCAGTTGTAGCTCTGAGCCCCACCCTTGTCATCTCCAATTTATATAGATGATACATAGATGAATAATTTTCTGCATTCAGTGATGATGCATCTGATACAAGTAGCATAGATGAACAGTGTTTGCAGCTTCCATGGTGGTGTTTCCATAGATATTTTCAAGAATTCCTGAATCTCTTCCTGACTGACGGACACTCTTTGAGACTAGCTGAATCTCTTTCTGTGTGGGACCTTAAAAAGCGATCTTTTCAAGACTACCTTACAATTTGAGCTTTTCCTATAATCGTTTCAATACTACCTTATGCTTTACAAGCTTGGCTACATACCACCTACAAGTACTAAAGCCAAGGGTGTACGTGAGTGCGTTATTTGCAAGCACACAGAACGATGAAACAGGAAGCAAAAATCTATCTGCAGCTGGTGCAATAGAGCAAAGTCGTGCTGTGTACCATGAACTACTCCGTTGATTATTACATCACTCCAAAGTACTGAGTGTGTAATACAATGTGTTACTGTGTAAATAGTATGTGAAACTGTACATATTGTAATTTTAGTGAATTTTTTCCACGTAATATTGTGACTAAACATTTATTGTGGACATTTTACTGACACATGCATCACAGTTCCATGGAACCATATGAATGTTCTACTGTATACATATTGTAAAGGTCACAAATATACATCATGTACGATAAAAGAAACAAATAAAACCACATTGGAAATACATAGAACAAATATTTGAAAATACATTTGTGGCAACACGCAGTGCTTGAATGGCCCGCTTGACCGTGTCTGGGAGCTTCACGCACGGGCGACCAGTCCCTGATGACGTCACAGCGCACCTTGTCCTCGTCCTCACAGCCAAAGTAAGTGGAATTTCGTAATTATTTTTACATAGACATGTTCAGAGAAGGGAATTTATCATTTTACAAAGAAACGTGATTTTTTGGGAACGCCTGATGTCATGCACACTTGGGGTAATTTCACAATAAACACAGCACATCACAGTGGTTAAATGGGGACATTAGTTTTGTATGACGTCCGTTTCATATGATGAACATGGTGCCAGAATGGATTAAATTCATTATTCGAGGTACCATTGTATACGCCATGCGCAGTTTAAGGGTGTAACATAATAGGGTAAGATGGTCATAATGAGAAATCATATTGCAGCTCCATGTTCAGGTTCTTCAGTTGTCAGTTACGCTGGTTGTGGAAGACCTTTGCGCTCATTTGCACCTGGGTACTGTCGTGCTTTTCCTGTGCCTTCTGGAGCTGCAATCTGACTAGATCTCAGAAGATGTTGAGATGCTCAGCGGCGCTCCTCTTGCTGTGTTTGGTCTCCACTGTGGTGTCGTCAGTAGAGCTTCATAAGATGTATGCCCCTATTCCTTGCAAGGCAGTAGCCATGTTGTTTACCTCCCAGCTTGTATGTCGACAGGCTATGCTGGCCTCTTACTTGGAGTCAGCCTGAGACCTAGCTGTTATTTCCACCTCAACTATGTTTTGTTTCCGGAGGAAGTTGTGGATGAATTTCTTTTGGGAGCTCCTTAGGCTCCCCAGAGCTACCCCTTGCTGATATGAATGCACAGTGTTTCTTCACTTGAACAAACTATATGGGGCAAAGCCGATTCGTTCCAGTGCGAAATTCATTCCATCCATCCAGCCCCAACAACCCTTCTTCTTCAAAAAAAAAAAAGAAAAAGAAAAAAGTTTTAGTTTTTTCTCCTTTGTTTATTATCTGATGTTCTTTTAACCTTTACATCCTGGAGAATGCATACCTGTCCCTAACTACG